GTTAAGCTGCTATTTTACGCTGGTATTCCGTGAGAGCGTGGTCCTTCCCCGGTCGAGCCGACCCATTCGTGCTACAGCTATACTAATAATATAGCTGCAGTATGGCTCTACCACGTAAATGACTGGGTAAGTACTACTCTTATCTGTTTTTGCCGCCAAACAGCAGTGTTGGCACTGCTGTTGCTGAAGGGTTTAGAGAGCCAGTATAATTACAGGCTGTGATGCATTAGATCTTAGTGCTCAGAAGTGACAACACATCACAAGCCTTTTTTGTTTAAAGTTGGTTGCACTTACTAACGGGTGGACTGTAAGTTTGTTTGTCACTTCATTTTATCAGAAAAAAAGAACATGCATTCAGTTAATTTTAAAGTATGATTTAAAGCAATGTACTTTACTATTATACTATGCTCTATTGTGTACTAAAGACCTTAAAAATAGTTTCTTAATGTAATTGAATTATTGAAGCAGACTGGTTTCCAGAAATCCAAGTCTGAATGTTATTTGCGTGCGGGCTGGATTCCAAGGTTATCCAAGCGTTTTTGACAAAACTTACGGAGGATGTTATGTTTTGTTTTTAAATGTGTATATAGTCATGAAGTCATGGTTCTTAATTATTTACTTATTGAATACCTTAGTAAATAAATAAGTTAGACCAAATGGGCAGACATGGGCAGAATTATTGCACATTATGGGCAGAATTACACAATATCAAAAGCCATATGCCATTGTTCTTTATTCCTCTATAAATTATTCGATTGCATAAAATACATAGAGTTATTTCCACCAATTCTGTTTCATAAAAATGTAATAAAAAGATAAAAACTAACAGCTTGAGCCAGGAAACTTTTATATTTCGAAGTATAACAGTTTCCTATCACAAGAATTTTATATAAAAAAAAAATACAAATTAAGTAACATAAAAGGGTATCAAAACAAACTTGCTCTATAGTATACAAAAAAATCGACACACTTGAAAACTTGTTTTTTTTTTTAACGTAATATTTCAAATCTACCTTAACAAAGTCATCAATGTTTCTTAATCCTAATTATTTATATATCATAATTATCATAGTTATATTATTGAAAATCTTTCACAACTTTGTTGTGTTGTAACTTTATACATTAGTAACGTGTCTAGATAGGTATATCGATATTTCAATTGTATTTAACGTTGACGTTGAATAAATTAAACAGCTCAAGCTATTTATTAACAACAAGTTTTCGTATCTTATACCGTTGGCCTTGACATGAGTTTCAACTTCGGTACGCATGTACTTTGGCTTTATTTTATGAACGTCCTTTTTAGTGTTAACTCCAAGTCACCGAGTTCTAAATCAGAAATTTCGCTGCATTGTGGTACGATAGTAGCATCTTCGCGTGGGTATTGATGCAAGGGCAGTGCTAGGAAACTCATGCTGGAATAGTGAAAAAGGAAAGTTCGTATAATATACCTACGGCCCACTGCTGGGCGCACGCCTCTCATTTGTAAGAAGTTGTTGACATGTCCTCGAAATATTTTCAGATTTTCAGACGTGCAAGTTTGACCTCGAGATGTTTTCATTCATCGCTAAGCACAAAAATAAAATGACGTAAATCAAACTTGTTTTGCTCACGTAGATAGTAGGTACTACGATATTTTAAGGTGGGTGTTATCTCTTGAGCTACCTACTATAATGTAATGTAATGTTGAAAATCAGTATTATGTATTATGTAAACCAGGCTTTTTGTTCATCACATCTTAAAAAAAAAAACAAACAGTTTATAATTTGCGCTCACGCGATTCGTTAACAAGACAATACGTTTATGAAAATATCATTTATATACGTGAACATGAATATTTTATACCAAGAAATAATGATCGACGTCATCGCACCTATTTTAAGAAATAATAACAAAATTGATAATCCGAAAATTAATTATCTAAGATAAGAAAGTCATTCATGGGGCAATGCAATAAAATTTTTTGACTATGCTACGAGTATTGTAATTTTATCTGTAAAAAAATTACAAAAAGAGGATACTTGCAGAATTTCTTCCGCCATTAATTTCAGGGATGGAAAAATCATGATTTTTTTAATTTTAATCAAATCATGCTGATTTTTTAAAAATATCATGATTTTTTTGCATATTCAAATAGGGTGGATGCCCCTTTTACCAGCCTTTTAGTGCCAATTTCAACTTTAAAAATTCCTGCTATTTTAATTAGGGCACAATATTTTTAAACATTTATTTAATCGATAGGTTATTTATCTAAAAATATAATGAACATTTATTTACAATCATATTATTTCAAGAACAATTTTAAAAACGACGACAAGCAAAAAAAGGCGTTATGGCTCAAATGCTAGCCGCCTTATATCGAATGTCGTCATTTTGTGTACCTACTTAATCCCAGCATAGCATAGGGTTGTGCCTTTTGAGTTTTTGGTAAGTACCTATTGTAGGTAACTTTTAACTTTAAATTTTGAATCTGCTTGTGACAAGCATGCAGATTCAAAATGTTTTACTACTTAACTTACTGTGTTTTAGTTTAAAGCAGTTCAATAAATTAAAGCAAATTATGATAAAATATTACGTAGTTAGTATATCGATTTCTAATAATTTAATCATCCAAGTTTCCAAATCATCATCGTCATTATAACCTTACACAAGTCCACTACGGAACATCCTCCTCTATAGACTGCCGCAAAGCCTGCTCCTAAACCACTTTACTTGTCATGAGTTTTTCATTTATGTTCTAAGTTGTAAAAGGTATTACTAAGTTATAATTTTTGCTTATCTATACAAATAAATAAAATTGAAGTGTCTGCTTGTAATGTCAAATTAACAGCTTTTTATTAAATGCATATGAAAGTTTATACGGTACCTATAACAGAAACACAATTTTTTTTTAAATTCTGTCTGTCTGTTTGTTCCGGCTAATCTCCGAAACGGCTGGACCGATTTCGACGGGACTTTCACTGAACGATAGCTGATGTTATAAGAAGTAACTTAGGCTACTCATATTTTAGAAAAAGAATTAGGGTTCCGCGCAACATAAAACCCTAAATTACACGCGGGTGAAGTCGCGGGGAACAGCTAGTATATACTATATTTATTGCTTGTTTTTTCTTCTTAAAAAATAATTGAATACATAAGCTGTCCTTAATATGTACTGAATGTCAGATAGCAAAGCTAGTACATTTATTGCTAAACTTTGAAATCTAAAACCAATTTTAAAATTGATTGAGAATTGATCATAACTCCCTTAACTATAAAATAAGTTATGATCTAATTAATGGTATTTATTCCAGTTTATGACAGCCCTGATTTATATTACGTGGCTGAAATTAGGTACGTCAAACCAAATAACAGCCGGGCGGCTGACATTTTGCACTCCATACATTTCGTATATCTAATTACAGCCCCATTAATTTCTGCTAAAAGAACTAAACTCATGAGCTGGCAGTTCACAATGGTTTTCATTAATTTAGAGAACAAGTTGAATAGTTCTGAGCAGTCGACTTTTCGGTTATTTTTTAAGGGTCTGGTGTGCTAAAGCTGTCTTCTTTGAGTTCGTAACTACGCCTAGGGAGAGTAGTGCTATGCGCACCGAGCGCTGTGTAAACCGTATCATACCGACCTGAAGGCGAGATTATACTTCTTTTCAACGCTGGTGAAGCGCTCCTATTATAACGCGATGCAATTTTACAGGAGCAACCAAACTATAGGCACCACAGATGATAGAATAAAGAGTTCCATTCCCTGAAGTACCACATCAGCGACAGAATCACGTTGGGATCATCCGGCGAGAAGCATACCCGCCCCTGTCCTCAAGGGATGGATGCAAAAAAAGACCGCATCCTGTCCCAATCGGCCGGCAATTCTCCATTACCAGAAGTGCTGGTACCCTTCTGTGTCTGGTTCTCTCTAAATAACACCTAATAAATTATATAATTAAAATAAATTGATATGAAGAGTCGTAGCTATAGTATAATCATAGCACTCGAGTCATTTGATTACGATCTGAAATTGTTCATTGCAATTTTAGTGCTGGTTTACCACGTGCTCGGCGGTGAATTAGAACGCGAAGAAACTTGCAAATATGAGAAATTACAACATTTAAAGGATACTTTTTAGTTCGCTACCACGCATTGGGACAGCGCGATGGGCTATCTGTTTCATAACCCTTTTAGAAATAAGAAGAGGCCTGTGTCCCTATTAAACTATCTCATTCCCCAACAACATGGCTCAGCTATCGAGTCGTGGGGATTGAGTTGAATACCCAATGGACGGACTCGGACTAGGAGGATGCTGTAGTCAAATATCAGCCAGAAACGCATAGTATTCGGTTTACAGAACTTTATTAACTCATAGAAGAACATAGTTCACTTATAATGAGCTTGTAAATTTACAAAAAATATAGTATAATATTTAAACATGTCCAGCACGTCGCACTTTTTCAGTAGTGAACTCGTTAAAAATGTTGTCGTAAATGTACTGTTTCAATTTTGAACTAAATAGGCCAAATGGGTCGCACTCTTTTATATCATTAAGTAATTTGTTGTATATTTGTGCTCCCTCAAACATTATGTTCCTTTTCCCGTGGCTAATTCTTGGTGTCGGCAAACAAATCTTATTTGTGTTTCTTAAATGATGCTTGTAAGTACGTTTTGTGAAAGATATTTCGGAGTGAATCTTGTTTGTTAAAAAATTTTGTATTAGAATGGAAGTTGTATATGTGTAAAGTTAAATAATCGTGATTTTTGATATAGTTGTTTCGTATTCGTTAGGCGATCATATTTAAAAAGGGTTTTAATAATTTTATTTTGTGATATTGTAAGCTTTTAAGGTTTGTTTGTGCAGCACATCCCCGCACCTCAATAAGGTACTCTAAATGCGATTTCACGAGCGAGTTATACAAGGTCATTCGAACCCTGCGCGGTATGCAACCAACGGTACTCTACGTAACGCACTATTCAAAGCAATTAATGTATTAAATGTTAAAACATAATTTTCAGATGATCCCGAGTTCAGCGAGCTGGTGTGGCAAGCGGAAGTGGCCATCGACAATGGCATCTTCCCAGAGAGAATATACCAGGGCTCGAGCGGCTCGTATTTCGTCAAAAACCCCGGCGGTGTGAGTTTTGGTTTATTTTTTATTAAATCTACACAAAGGTATCATTAAAGCCACGAATCTATACACTAACACAATGCATGGTACGGTTTTTTGGATAATCTTTATCTATCTATTTATACCAATACCAATTGCCGTGCGTTAATCTCGTAAAAAGTCCATGGATGGTTTAGATTCACAATTGGACTCGGTAGGTGACGCCGTTGTCGAGACCCAGAAATGTGTGAAGCTTGGGCGGATCGTTAGTGCAGTTCTTCGGGCAGTATTGTAAAACGTGCCAGACGTCTAACACTGCGAACGTCAATCACCCTGCTAACCGTTATGCTTTAGGTAAATCCTTCGTACAACGTGAAGGGTCCATGTCCAGCAGTGGATATTTACGCGTCAATAAAGAAGATAGAAAGAAGAATATGATCAGATCCTCCAAGCTTTGCAACAATGTTGAAGTTTATGGATGACCCATAACTTTGATTTCGTTAAAACCAATATTGGGAACTTGTCCCACCGCCAACGATGACCGAGAAACGAGTAGAGAAACTAGATAAGAGTAGGTGGAGAAACGAGTAGAGAAACTAAAGAGTAGGCGAGTAGCGAGAAGTGTGTGTGTAGTTCCGATAGTTTTGTCGCTGGATTATAAACGAGTGCACACAGATCCGCGCTGTAGAGTAAAATGACCACTGGTTGGTATTTCGGCGTGAGTTCTGACCATTCCTGAGCGAGTTTTAACTATTAACATATTTATCTCTTTTATTGACACGGTATCTATATATATTGCTCGTTTCTTGAGCGCTAACATAGTCGATAGCTAATCGCGTACAGCAAAGTAGTGGAATAATTTACCGGAGTCTGTCTTTCTGTCCGTATACAATTTGGGCCTCTTCAAGGCAAGATTAAATATTAGGCTTTTGTTACGCTACGACAGTGCGATTTAACATCTAGGGATTCATTACTGTACTGGCTTATAATAAGTAAAAAAAAACAGCTCCACCTTTACCCTAAGGGTGCTCGAGATAATTCAAAACTATTATATTGATACTAGTTGACCTGATTACGTCTTAAGAAGATTTATGATGTATTGGAAAATATTTATATAATAACGTTAGTAAAGGTTATATTTTATGCATATTATGGCTGTAACACGAATGGGTTACATCCACTGGGGAAGAGCCACACTCTACTCTACTAACATAATGTTGTGACGAGGATTGGAGACACACCTTAGTCCTTAGTCCTCAAGAGTGACAATGCATCTGAATATCAATTCTTAATCAAAGATTGATGATTTGTATGTACCATCACATCTACTTACTATCAGGTGGATTTTGTACCTGTTTGTCATCCCAACTTGTGTAGAAAAACAGCTCTTCACAATTGTTTCTCAAGAATGCAATATCGTTTCTACTCACGTAGATATGGTGTCATGCAGACTTGAAGCGAAAAGAGCTAAGATAAATTCCTTCACCTCGGGGATAAGGAATCTCTGAGTTTGGGTTTCTTATTTGGTGTGAAGGAGACATTAATATTGTTCAAATCTTTTATATTAAATGCTTTATTGTTTTGCCTTTACAAAAAGAGAAATTAGAGTTATGATATCCCAGGGGCTAAGTGCTTGTTTTAAATCTCACAGTACACAAGCAATATGGGTTTGATCCCCGCAGGCGCTATTGAGATTATTAATTGTAATTTTAAAGACTAACTTATCACATGCCCGGGGGTGAGATAAAAAACATGGAGAGCGTGGGAAACACTGGCTTCAAATCCTCCGAGAAATAAGGAAAGTCCTGCCTAGCTGTGGGACGTCTAAATGTAAAGTACTGATTGTAACTATACTACATATATAAATTGGTTTACAAGTCAGACGTAATACCTTAATCTTTAAGGCATTTTCTAATAGTCTTACAAACTGCATTATGAAGCGATGTTTTCAGTATTTTATTGTTTTGTTTAAATACAGTATATATTATACACGATATATAGAAATTTCAATTTTTTTATAGGATAAGGGTGACAAACATAGTCCACTTGATGGTAAGTGGTTGCTGTGGCCCATAGACATCTACATCTATCTACTATTACGAATCAAAATGCAGATGCGTTGTCACCCACGAGGACTAAGATGGAATGCCTCGTTTCCAGTAAAAAGGTTCTCCGGTTCTCTACACTCACCATATGAAACACAGCAGCGTCAACCTGCTAAAGGCCAAGTCAATCTATTTATTTAAAATATAAAAGATTTTTGGTATTGATGTGGTCACTATAAAATATTGTTCGGTTAGCTAATTACGTAATAACTTAAGACTGAAAGACCCTTAAATAGGGACTGAATAAATTAACCGACTTGGTATTACATGGATATCACAACTTTTTACCCTGAGTTGTGAGACTTGGTTTTTTCACAAGTTATGTCTTTGATGGCATAGAGTATGTCATGTCAACATTCAGATATTGTTTTGTATCTATATTTTTATGTTTATTTCCATGTTGTTTGAGTTGCATCCAAATTAATTGCAGAAAATAATAGGCGTGTTCAAGCCGAAGGATGAAGAGCCGTATGGTAGATTGAATCCGAAGTGGACTAAATGGATGCACAAGTTGTGCTGCCCGTGCTGTTTCGGGAGGTCGTGCCTCATTCCTAACCAGGGCTACTTGTCGGAGGCCGGCGCAAGCCTGGTCGACTCCAAGATTGGCCTCAAAATTGTGCCGAAGACCAAGGTAAGTAGTGATGCCATTTTATGAATTAATTAATCAACGATTTATGCGTCACACAATACAACGCTTAATACAAAGAAATTAAACCATAAAACCAGCAAAAAAAATAACAATATACACAAGTACATTGGGTTGCAATAACGAAAAGACACCTGACTCATCAAGATACTGTAGCAGTGTTGCCACAGCCACTGTACTTATTTTTCTTTTTTTTCTTTAAAAAAAACTAGGATTTTCACCTGTATCGTGGAGGCAGTTTACAAACACCAATTGCACAAGGACAAACATCCAGACCCGGAACAATTATTTGTAGGCCATACAAATATTTGTTCCGTGCGGGATTAGAACCCGCAGCCCCCAGCGCTACAACTCATAAGCCACTGCGCCACGGAGCCGTACTGTTTTATATATATTTATTATTTCATAAAGTCATCTGTTGTCTGCGTAAGAGAATCCACCACTCCATTTCGTCCTGCGGGTGTCAGGTGTCATAAAAGGCGACTATGGGAAATGCCAGACAAATCTCATGTTAAGTTCCGCCAGACCTAAATTGTCCAGATTCTCCTACGGGTAGCAGCATTAAGATAGACGTCAGGTACTGCGATTGTCAGACCGGCTCACGTCTAGCAGTTGACTTTTTGAGTTGATGACAAAGAAAAAGAGAATTTTTATCCAACATACATTATAAGTAATATGTATTGATTATTGAAAGTAATTTTACCACTGGTTCGAAAAACCTCTGACCACAACTATTTGTGTACGAGGTAGAGCCATGCTACAGCTATATTTTGGTTGCAGCACAAATGGGTCGGCTCACCCGTGCAAGTACCACACTCTCACAGAATACTAGCGTAAAATAACAGCTTAATGCTGACGTGTTTCGTATGGTGAGTACAGAGAACCGGAGACCCTTTATTACTGAAAATAAGGCATTCCATCTTAGTCCTCAGGGGTGAGACAATGCAGATGCATTGTCTCACCCCTGAGGACTAAGTTGATTCTAGATGGAGGATGGATAGTGTCTATTAGCCATCCGCCATCCACTTATCATCAGGTGGACTGTGTGCACGTTCGTCACCCTTATTCTATAAAAAATAGTATAAAAATAACCAGCGGGACAGTTCAGAAGGAATTGGCTGTCGCAAGCTTTGGGGAGTATCAAAATAATCCTTTCATTTATATTTAGGTGGTGAAACTTGTGTCAGAGACATTCAACTACCTACGGATAGATCGGGAAAGGTCACGGCTAAAACGCGCCATCACCGAACAGTTTCCGAACCTTCGCTTCAATAGAATGGGACTTCCACCTAAGGTAAAAATACTTACATTTTCCAATCTGAGTAATAGCTTCACGAAAAATGAAACATCTCTGATCTCATCACGCATTTGGGAGAAGTAGCACGAAGCATGAGAGAGCAATCTATTTTGTCAAATAATGCTTGCAATGATGTGTTCTAATCTAAATGGTATTGAAAACCAGTATTATTCAAATAATGAAAGCAGCATTCTATCTTAGTCCTCAGAGATCACAACGTATCTGTTCATCAGGTCGTCACTTTTTTCTTACCAGTACGAACCTTTCTTCCCCATCAGTTGTCAGTTCTTTGAACTATATGATCGGCCCACTCGAATTGGTTGTGTTCAGGATCTTTTAAAGAACTGATGGAATATAATTTATCAGAAAACCTTTCTAAATATTGTATGTGTTGTGTAGATGTATATGATTATTATTATCAAGGTTTTTGTGCAAGACATCGCTGTTTAGTTATAACACCACCTTTGTACATTAAGTACTTAAATTATTATTAAGTATAAATGTTTTTATATGTGCAATAAATAGTAATTGTACGGAATACTTTTAAATGATAATATATAAGAAAGAATTATTTTATTTAAACTGATAATGATATTGATAAAGAATAGGAATGGAATGAAAACGTGACTGCTTAAAAATTAAAGTAAATGACGCAAATGATGTTGACTTAAATAAATCGCTTACTAACAAAAATGTACGGTTGCACTGTACAGTAATAAAACTTCGCTGTATACATACATACCAAATGGTTGTATCTGATTGCAGGTGGGTTCATTCCAGTTATTCGTAGAAGGCTACAAAGATGCGGACTACTGGTTGCGGAGGTTCGAACAGGACCCCCCACCTCCGCACGTTATGAAGAAGTAAGTTTCGTTTCTTTGTGTTTGATTACTGTCAAGAATTAAATGTATGCTAAATATACAAAATATACGAATTATAGATATTGAATTATAGTACTAGCAACTAACAATTAAATTACCCACAATTTCGTTGTTCATTATCAAAAAGGACACTGAAAAAGTCAACTGTTATTTACTTTTGTATGATAGAAAAAAAATTTAATACTTTAACTTTTCTGTCCTTTGATTTCTAATAGAATTAATTACCCCATATCATCTCGTGGGTGTCATAAGAGAGTGATGTAGCAGACCTCTTTTACTGGAAACGAGGCATTCTATCTTAGTCCTCACGGGTGTCAACACATCTGCATTTTCATTCGTAGTTGAGGATGGATGTAGATGTTTATGGGCCACAGCAACTACTTACCATCAGGTGTACTATGTGCTCGTTTGTTACCTTTATCCTAAAAAAGAAAGATAAGTACTACCATTGGCCTACCAGTCCACCCAGTTTATATATAAAGTCTGAAGATGTTAGAACGAATGTGTCATGTTGAAGATTGCGTTTATTTATCATCTGAATCAGTGTACTAATCAATTAGGCTGAGTGGTAGATCTTGGAGAAATATTACTGCTTATGTCCAGCTGTTGGCTAAAATTACCCTCGTTCAGATTCCAGTTGCAATTCGAACGGCTGGTGGTCCTGGACTACATAATCCGCAACACGGACCGCGGTAACGACAACTGGCTCATAAAGTACGATACGCCCAGCAAGGACGTACTCAACATGACAGAACCCACCGTGAGTATAATTTTGATATTTTTTTATTGTATAAATTGCCGTGTATAGGCTTAAGGGAATCTATTACCCAATTTCATTCTATGGGTGTGGTAAAAGGTGGCAGAGGGAAATGAAATGGGAGATGGGCAGCAGCGTCTTCCCGATAACAGTTCAAAATAATAAAAAAGTGCAGTCGCTTACCAGCCTACGAATTTTACCTGCTTATGTTCAGGAGTCGAATTTTGTTAGTCTGTAACGATGATCTCCAATCTCCTTGTCTAGTGTGGTGATTAGCTAGTCCACCATATTTAAATAAAACAACGGGCGCAGTGGCTTAGCAATGAGTTGCTGTGCTGGGGGCCGCGGGTTTGAATCCCGCGCGGAACAAGTATTTGTATGGCCTGCAAATAATTGTTCCGGCTCTGGATGTTTATACTTGTGCAATTTGTGTTTGTAAACTGCCTCCACGATACAGCAGAAAATCCTAGTGTAACGTTTTTTTTAAGAAAAGAAAAGAAAGAAAAAGAAAACTAGTTTTACGGATTTCATCGCGTATATTAACTTATTTTATATTCCAGACGTTTCGAGCACTTTACAACACCCATGGTCACGGGGGGGGACTGGGTGTATGACGTCCCAATGTCATAGTTATTTTATTGCTTACCATTAACGTTACAATCTAACAAAAATCCACTGCTGAGAATAGACTTTTTCTATAGATTGCCTCATAGAGAGCATATTTGCCATAACTGCCATGCATGGCAGGCGGGTTGCCAATCGCAGGTTTTTATTTTTCAGTTATTTTATGGTAGACGCTGCTTTGAAACTGAAACCATTTCCTGGTTTGTTTCTCTCTGTAACCTCTTACGACACCCACATGACTATATGTGATATGCCACTACACCGTTAATACTTGATTCCTTTTCTAAAGGTTCAATGTTGAACATGGAGCTTTTAAGTTGTTGAGAATATTTGCGATTAACATCACGTTCACGCTTGACGAGAAATTGGCCATCGCAGAAACATACGTCTCGCCTCCTTATTAGGCCAGTGTCCAGCAAGTCAACTGCTCACAGACTGATTAGGAGAAAGATAGTAGTACAAAAGTAAAATTACAGCTTTATACGTGGTAGAGCCATGCCTCAGCTATATTAGTAGTATAGTTGTAGTACAAATGGGTCGGTTCGATAGGGGAAGGACCACTAGCGTATAATAGCAGCTTAATGCTGCTGTGTTTCATATGGAGAGTGTATAGAACCGGAGACCCTTTTTACTGGAAACGAAGCATTCCATCTTAGTACTCACGGGTCACAACGCATCTGCATTTTGTTTCGTAATCGCGGATAGATGTAGATGTCTATGGGCCACAGCAAACACTTACCATCAGGTGGACTGTGTGCTCGTTTGTCACCCAAAAAAACCAGCTTATACACGTCCCAGTGCAGGACACAGGCCTCATCTCATTTATGAGAGGGTAATGGCCAAATTGTTAAGTATCCTGGTGTCACAGTCACTATGACTTAGTGATAAAACAGCGTAAGACTTAACGGCATCTTAAAATTGAGTGGCGTTTGAGTACTTGGTCATAATAATAATACAAAATACAAACAATTTTTTTAAACTTCAGCAATGAATATTTGCAGGAGTGGTCGGGAAATGTGGATATACGAATCGCGGCGATAGACAACGGGCTGGCCTTCCCCTTCAAGCACCCGGACTCGTGGCGAGCTTACCCCTACCACTGGGCCTGGCTGCCGCAGGCCAAGCTCCCCTTCAGCCAGGAGACCAAGTAAAATACCCTTCACTTCTGTCATATAGTACTTTTTTAGTTAAATTTCATTGACAATTGAGCACATAGTACACTTGATGATGAGTGGCTACTGCGGCTGCAGCCCATGAATTCTTGTAACATACCTTAGACAAAGAAAGCTAATTGTTTCCACTGAGGACCAATAGAGAAGTTGCATGATTTTTTTTTGCCACATATTTATATATACATGAAAGAATAATTTATTTAAATAATATTTTTTATTAACATTTCCATTTTTTTTAGTAATTATTAATAAAAAATAGTAAAATTTTTGAATGAAAAAAAGAAACGACATCATCATTGGTTGTGACATCATTATATCCGTTGAGGCCCAATCGCAATCATGCTATACTTTTGTATTTTCTATATTCCGATCACCATGCGTCATATTATGTCAATGATAATTTTATTTTTTATTTTGACAACGTAAACATGAGTGTTTGATCATTTCACCATGCGGTGGCGTTACTAAAGCGATATAATGACGTCATTGGCGTTTAAATTTTCATTTTAGAAAAGTTTTTTTAATTGTATAATTACATTAAAAATCAATTGTTAAAAACTTTTTTAACTTCTCTTAATAGTTTTTAGTAAACTTTAAAAAAAAACATGCAACTTCTCTATTATTTTAAAGCTTATTCTTGTCCTTTTACCCTTCCAGAACACGGCAGGTCACTATACTATTGTATGTGGTAGAGCCGCGCTTCAGCTATATTATGTCTGCAGCAGAAATAGGCCGGTTCGATTAAGGGGGACCACACTTTCACAAACAGTTATATGTGCTAGATCCTTGCGGCAGCTGCTATATTATAGTTGTAACACGAATGGGTCTGCTAGACCGGAAAAAGACCCGCTTTCACAGAATTTCAGCGACAGGGGGAAACAAATCAGGCAAAGTATCTTCCTAATAGCAAAAAAACTGCAGTCAGGTAGAGGCAAGCTATAGAGACAATCTATGGGGGAGGCCTATGTTCAGTAGTGGACTTTAATAGGCTGTAACGGTAATACATACTTAAATAGCGATTTAGTATAATCTTTTCAGTCAAATTAAATAGCGATTTAGTGTCATCTTCTCAGTCAGATTAAGAAGCGATTTAGTGTCATCTTCTCAGTCAGATTAAAAAGAGATTTAGTGTCATCTTCTCAGTCAGATTAAAAAGAGATTTAGTGTCATCTTCTCAGTCAGATTAAGAAGCGGTTTATTGTCATCTTCTCAGTCAGATTAAAAAGAGATTTAGTGTCATGTTCTCAGTCAGATTAAGAAGCGATTTAGTGTCATCTTCTCAGTCAGATTAAGAAGCGATTTAGTGTCATCTTCTCAGTCAGATTAATAAGAGATTTAGTGTCATCTTCTCAGTCAGATTAAAAAGAGATTTAGTGTCATCTTCTCAGTCAGATTAAAAAGAGATTTAGTGTCACCTTCTCAGTCAGATTAAAAAGAGATTTAGTGTCATCTTCTCAGTCAGATTAAAAAGAGATTTAGTGTCATCTTCTCAGTCAGATTAAGAAGCGGTTTATTGTCATCTTCTCAGTCAGATTAAAAAGAGATTTAGTGTCATGTTCTCAGTCAGATTAAGAAGCGATTTAGTGTCATCTTCTCAGTCAGATTAAGAAGCGATTTAGTGACATCTTCTCAGACAGATTAAGAAGCGATTTAGTGTCATCTTTTCAGTCAGATTAAAAAGCGATTAAATGTCATCTTCTCAGTCAGATTAAAAAGGGATTTAGTGTCATCTTCTCAGTCAGATTAAAAAGCGGTTTAGTGTCATCTTCTCTCTCAGATTAAAAAGAGATTTAGTGTCATCTTCTCAGACAGATTAAAAAGCGATTTAGTGTCACCTTCTCAGTCAGGTTAAGAAGCGATTTAGTGTCATCTTCTCAGTCAGATTAAATAGCGATTTAGTGTCATCTTTTCAGTCAGATTAAAAAGCGATTAAATGTCATCTTCTCAGTCAGATTAAAAAGCGATTTAGTGTCATCTTCTCAGTCAGATTAAGAAGCGGTTTAGTGTCTTCTCAGTCAGATTAAGAAGAGATTTAGTGTCATCTTCTCAGTCAGATTAAAAAGCGATTTAGTATAATCTTTTCAGTCAGATTAAATAGCGATTTAGTGTAATCTTTTCAGTTAGATTAAATAGCGATTTAGTGTAATCTTCTCAGTCATATTAAAAAGCGATTTAGTGTCATCTTTTCAGTCAGATTAAAAAGCGATTAAATGTCATCTTCTCAGTCAGATTAAAAAGCGATTTAGTGTAATCTTTTCAGTTAGATTAAATAGCGATTTAGTGTAATCTTCTCAGTCAGATTAAGAAGCGATTTAGTGTCATCTTCTCAGACAGATTAAAAAGCGATTTAGTGTCACCTTCTCAGTCAGGTTAAGAAGCGATTTAGTGTCATCTTCTCAGTCAGATTAAATAGCGATTTAGTGTCATCTTTTCAGTCAGATTAAAAAGCGATTAAATGTCATCTTCTCAGTCAGATTAAAAAGCGATTTAGTGTCATCTTCTCAGTCAGATTAAGAAGCGGTTTAGTGTCATCTTCTCAGTCAGATTAAGAAGAGATTTAGTGTCATCTTCTCAGTCAGATTAAAAAGCGATTTAGTGTCATCTTTTCAGTCAGATTAAATAGTGATTTAGTATAATCTTTTCAATCAGATTAAATAGCGATTTAGTGTAATCTTTTACTTTTTGCTGGCCGTATGAGGAAGCTCAAGGTTGCTTAGCGAGTCATGGAGAGGGCTATGCTCCGGGTTTCTCTGAGTGATAAACTTAGAAATGAGTATGTCCGCAGTAGAACCAGAGTAACCGACATAGCCCAACGGATTAGTAAACTGAAGTGGCAATGGGCCGGCTATATAGCTCGAAGAACCGACAACCGATGGGGAAGAAAGGTTCTCGAGTGGCAGCCTCGTACCGGTAGGCGAAGTGTAGGGCGACCCCCCACGAGATGGAGTGACGACCTGGTAAGACATACAGGAAGTCGATGGATGCAGGTGGTTCAGGACCGTGCTTTGTAGCATTCGTTAGGGGAGGCCTATGTTCAGCAGTGGACTTATGAAAGGCTGTAATGATGATGATGATGATGATGTAATCTTTTCAGTCAGATTAAAAAGCGATTTAGTGTCATCTTCTCAGTCAGATTAAGAAGCGGTTTAGTGTCTTCTCAGTCAGATTAAGAAGAGATTTAGTGTCATCTTCTCAGTCAGATTAAAAAGCGATTTAGTGTCATCTTTTCAGTCAGATTAAATAGCGATTTAGTGTAATCTTCTCAGTCATATTAAAAAGCGATTTAGTGTCACCTTCTCAGTCAGGTTAAGAAGCGATTTAGTGTCATCTTCTCAGTCAGATTAAATAGCGATTTAGTGTCATCTTTTCAGTCAGATTAAAAAGCGATTAAATGTCATCTTCTCAGTCAGATTAAAAAGCGATTTAGTGTAATCTTCTCAGTCAGATTAAGAAGCGGTTTAGTGTCATCTTCTCAGTCAGATTAAGAAGAGATTTAGTGTCATCTTCTCAGTCAGATTAAAAAGCGATTTAGTGTCATCTTTTCAGTCAGATTAAATAGCGATTTAGTATAATCTTTTCAGTCAGATTAAATAGCGATTTAGTGTTATCTTTTCAGTCTGATTAAAAACCGAGTAGTGTAATCTTTTACTTTTTGCTGGCCGTATGAGGAAGCTCAAGGTTGCTTAGCGAGTCATGGAGAGGGCTATGCTCCGGGTTTCTCTGAGTGATAAACTTAGAAATGAGTATGTCCGCAGTAGAACCAGAGTAACCGACATAGCCAACGGATTAGTAAGCTGAAGTGGCAATGGGCCGGCTATATAGCTCGAAGAACTGACAACCGATGGGAAAGAAAGGTTCTCGAGTGGCAGCCTCGTACCGGTAGGCAAAGTGTACGGCGACCCCCCACGAGATGGAGTGACGACCTGGTAAGACATGCAGGAAGTCGATGGATGCAGGTGGCTCAGGACCGTGCTTTGTAGCATTCGTTGGGGGAGGCCTATGTTCAGCAGTGGACTTATGAAAGGCTGTAATGATGATGATGATGATGATGTAATCTTTTCAGTCAGATTAAATAGCGATTTAGTGTAATCTTTTCAGTCAGATTAAATAGCGATTTAGTGTAATCTTTTCAGCCCGATTAAATAGCGATTTAGTGTAATCTTTTCAGTCAGATTTTCATTCAGATTAAATAGCGATTTAGTGTAATCTTTTCAGTCAGATTAAATAGCGATTTAGTGTAATCTTTTCAGTCAGATTAAATAGCGATTTAGTGTAATCTTTTCATTCAGATTAAATAGCGATTTAGTGTCATCTTCTCAGTCAGATTAAATAGCGATTTAGTGTAATCTTTTCAGTCAGATTAAATAGCGATTTAGTGTAATCTTTTCAGTCAGATTAAATAGCGATTTAGTGTAATCTTTTTAGTCAGATTAAATAGCGATTTAGTGTAATCTTTTCAGACAGATTAAATAGCGATTTAGTGTAATCTTTTTAGTCAGATTAAATAGTGATTTAGTGTAATCTTTTCAGTCAGAGTAAATACACCCAGTTTCAGTCAGAGTAAATAAAACCGCAATAAAAATGTCGTGTTGTGTTGTTGCAGGGAATTGGTCCTTCCACTGCTGTCCGACATGAATTTTGTTCAAGAACTCTGTGAAGAATTACGTATACTATTTAAGGTAACTAATTTTATTTGCTATTTTTATAAAATGTAGTGATGAAATTATATACATACTAGCTGGCCCGGCAGACGTTGTTCTGCCTTTTCTGGCTCCGCTAGAGTGATGCAACCTCTCGCTCACTTTCGATCCATCCGGTATTTTATACATACAGACTGATAAACATCTAAATACTAATGTTATTTTGAATGGGCAAGAGTTGAGTATAAGAGGTAATACCACCGTTTATCTGGGAATCACTGTGGACACGAAGCTTTAAGAGGGCCTCATATATTAAACTAGCAAGCAGACTTAGTTCTGCGGCATAATATGCTATAAAGAGTTTAGAAACCTTACTTGTGTTTAAGCTAGTTAAGTTTATTTTTGTTAATTCCATAGCATAATGTTGTATGTAATCTTGTTATAGTGTAATGCGACTAATATTGAAACTACTTTTGCTTTGCAGAAAGAGCCATAATCTAAATTTGAAGTGGTCTCTTAATTAAAATTAAAAAAAATTATATGTGGTAGAGCCATGCAGCTATATTATGGTTGTAGCTATAATGGGTTTGCTCGTCCGGGAAGGACCACGCTCTCACATAACATTAGCGTAAAATTTTTAATACTGCTGTGTTTCTTATGGTGAGTGTAGAGCACCGGAGGTTATTCTTATAGAAAACGAGACATTTTGAACCATGCTGCAGCTATATCATGTGTCAGCTCGACCGGGAAAGTTATACGCTTGCATAGAATATCACGAAATAGCAGCATAATGCTTCTGTTTCTTATGGCAAGTGACGAAAACCGGAGACCCTTTTTGTGATAATAGATCATTTTATCGTAGTGTTCAGGGGGAGTTGTTACACGTACTGGTTTCCGCAATTTCACGAATAAAGGCGTACTTTGCGTGTGGTCAGGACAGGGAGTGACAACGTATCGGCATTTTGATACTTAATTGAAGATAGAGGTTGATTGTATGGGCCACAGCATCCCCTTACCATCCAGTGCACTGTGGTCATGTTTGTCACCCTTCTATTAAAAAAAAAACACGTTTGTATATTGTACAGCAAGACAAAGGGTTCGACAAGGGGCTGTTCGAGCGGCAGATGTCGGTGATGCGCGGGCAGCTGCTGAACCTGACGCAGGCGCTCAAGGACAGCAAGAGCCCCGTGCAGCTCGTGCAGATGCCGGCCGTCATCGTCGAGAGGTACACTCGTTCATTCATTCACTCATTCATTTGTACCCTTACTTGTAAAAGCGTTCATTATTCCTTTCTATTTTGATAGTGCCGAGCTTTCCGTATTAACTATTTTACCGTTACCGATACCGGTTTAGTTACCTTTACAGCCTATCAAAAGTCGACTACTGAATATAGACCTCCCCCAAGGAATTATCCGACTTGTTTCCCTCAGTCGCCTCGTACGACACCCACAAAACATCATCCTACAATAAATCTTCTATTAACCATGATTTATTACTGGTTTGTAATCGCCAAAGTTTTGGCAGGCGCTTTGGCACTCGCCGTACCAAATATATCTGTCAATACTTTGCGTCTGATAAAATAAAAGTACGAAACAATTTTACTTTTATCAATCGGTAGGTAAAAGACCTTCCAGACTTTTCCCTAAATCGCCTCTTACGACACCCATCTCACAACGATCCATTGACTAAATATTGATGCGTAGACTTTTTATTCGGGTATTAGACAACGTCATTATTAAATTATAATATGTTATAATTTGCTTTCTTTTTATTAAACTCCATACGTGGTAGAGCCACGCGTCAACTATATTATGGTTGTGGCACGAATGGGTCGACTAGACCAAAGTAGGATCATGCTCTCACAGAATACCAGCGTAAAACGGCTGCTGAATGCTGCTGTGTTTCGTACGGTGAGTGTAGATAACCACAGACCCTTTTTACTGGAAACGAGACATTCCAACTTAGTCCTCAGGGGAGACAAAGATTCTGCATTTTAATTCTTAATCAAGCATAAATATACTTGTCTATGGCCCACAGCATCCACTTACCATCACTGACATGCTCTTCGTAGATTATAAAACGGTTCGTTTAAAAAAGCAAACCGTTTTTGAATATAGGAATCGTGTGTAAGTAAACGTTTTACAAAAAATTATAACATTTGTTTGCTTACTTTCCAGGTCCAAAAATGGCACGACATCGTCTCGGTTCTTCGATTCGTTCCAACAACGCTTCCAACACAAGTCGCCGTTCTTCTCGTGGTGGTGAACTGTATCTTGACTTGTGGTAAGATTTGATTTCTAATGCGGTATTATTGAATAGTCTCTCGTTTTCCATGTTGACTGTAAAATTTTGAAATCTAGTTGTTTCTATACCGGGATAAGATTTCCTCAGCTTCATCATCGGCACTTAAAAGTCCACTACTGGAGTTAGGCCTTTCCCATTGTAGGAAAGAATTGCCTTAGTCGTCACGATAGTTCCCCTGCCAATTCCAATCATATATATATATATATATATATATATATATATATATATATATTCCCACGCATTTAATTAACTTGAGATGGTACATTGATTCTGTGCGAACGCTCACGCAGAATACCAGCGTAAAATGCTACTGAGTTTTGTTTGATAAATGTAGAGAACTGGAGATCCTTTTTACTGGTAATGAGACATTCTATTTTAGTCCTCAGGGGTGACAACGCTGTGTCTATAGGTCTCAAACATCCATTTACCGTCAATGGAAAATAATAATAAATAAAATTCAGACTTATTATTCGGACGTAAATACTATTTTCCCATACATCGTTGTAATTTCTATTTTTAGGCAAACTTCAGGAATATTCTCGCGCAAACGTGATGCAATACGCAACTGCTTTCGTAACAATAAAATAAGATTTGTATTAGGCTTGGGTAAAAATATCGATATATCGAAATATTCTCACAAAATCATTGATATTTATCGTCGATATTTTTAATGTGGATATATCGATAATCGATATTTATTTTAGTTTATCGAATTCCTATCTATACAGATATATGTTGTAACGCAAATTCGGTTTCGTAACATTAATAAACGTTCCAACTATCCCTTAATAAAATTTTGTCCACTTATTCTACAATATCATGCAAAACGTGACGATATATCGATATCTTTATTTATCACGCGATAGTTATCGATGCTCAATACGATAAATAGCGATATATTTTTGCACATCCCTAATTTATATAATAGATATCTTCTTTTTCTTAGTCAGGCCGTAAAAGTCCACAGCTGGGGCATAAGTGTTTCCTATAGTAGAGAGGATTTGCTGTAATCATCACGCTCGGCATGAGCTGCTTGGACACTACTCCCGGCCCAAATAGTGATAATAATAATAAGTTATACTTACTGAAATTTTGCCACTGGTTCGAAAAATCCTCTGTCCTGGGTTCCCATCAAGAAAGCCCCTTTTTTTATATTAATAATTAACCACGAATCAGAATGAAAGTGTTCGCTTCGTCGTTAGTAATGCGTACAGCAAATGAGTGAAATAATTTGCCAGCGTCTGTCTTTGCACCCAATAACGATGTGTATGTCTTTAAGGCAAGACTGAATAGGATTTTGTTTTACCACTTACCAATAAGTGGGATAGTATAACAATAATGTTTACTTTATTTGCTCTCACAAGTTTACATTGCCTTGTAATAATATTGGAGGTATAACCATTTTAATATGTGAGAGCCTGGTGTTAGTACTAGGAAAGACCTGTATGACTAATCACCAGACTCTCGTCCCTTAATGTAACAATTATCAACATACCTTTAACTTTAGTACACTTCGTGCGACAATATGATTTATAATTGCAGTTTCTGTATAGTGGTAAAGCACCGGCTTAAAATAATGTCCTCCAGACCGAATTTTGGTCAGTCTCAAAGAATACTACAGATCTACGCAAGACAGGATTACAGTGTACGAGTGTATGCGCAGGCTCAGGTGCACTATTCCCTCACTCTCATAGGCCGATGAGACGACAATCTTATATGACCGGAAAGAGATCAGGCGTTCAACCAACGGCATAAAGCGACGGGTTTAAAAGAGCGCCATCTTCCTGACTTCAGTTTGTGAATGATAATTTCTTGACAGAAATGATTTTGTTCCAACCGGGAATTCGAATCCGGGGCCACTCGTTCAGCAGTAGCGCTTACAGCCACCAGACCAGAGTCAGTCACTGTAACTAGAGTAACTGGCTTATAAATAGCTAAAAAAAAGGAATCTGGCCATATAATTAAACAATTTAAATAGATAATTTGGATTTTATATAGCCGACAATGAGCCGACTATTTTGGATTTTATCAAGGAATGTGATATGATGAAAACACTGTTACACAATACATATTTTGTAATTAATTTAATATTTTTTTTTTGTTTATTGCAGGCAACAAACAACCGTGATAACTCCTAGTGACGCTGAAGTATATATAGTAAAATAATTGTATGTATATGTATGTATGTACCAAGTAGATTAGCACATTATCAAATTATATAAACACTGTCAAAATGGGGTACAGTGTAATGTAAAAACAGAGACATCACCACACTTAGCAACAGCTGTAATCTAAAATTGGAAAGCATTTTTATATAAATGTATTTGATTTGTGGCAATAAATTGACATTACTTCTAAAGATCTTAACCAAATTAATTTTACATATATTTTGTGCCATATTTTCAAAATTTTGTGATCAATATTGAAAAATAAGATAAGTTTAAATCACAAACGCATTTGTTTAAGTAGTTTATTTATATAAATAGTTTTTAAATTATATTATTTAGAAGAAAAAAAAGCCTAGAATAACTTGAATGGTCAATTTTTTTGCCATTATTACTAGTAACTGAAGAAAAGCGAAGATATTTGCCTAGCAATAACACGTGTATTGTTTGCAAATTGATATTTCTGCTTGTACATTACACTGTGTCATTCAACTAATGCAGTGGGTAAATTTTTGGTCATGTTGGGACCGAGCTAGTCGAATTTGCTTCTCTGAGATGTTCTACTCATTCATATTAACATTCGAAAATGTGTAATAGTATATTATGTTAAGGTCTAATATTGCTTGCCTCGTACTAAGTATCCAATATATTCCGGCTTGTGATAAATCTATTTCGAACAATCTAAAACAGACGTCGTAATAATATCTTATTCTAATAGCCATATGTAATTTATATTATAATTTATTATTTTTCTCTTTATTAAATTAGACAATTATACATTAAAAAAATATTATCAATACTGTTGACTAAGCGCTAAGTTTCTAATTCGGAAATCCATTTTTTTTTTAGTGTATTTTTTAAATTATTAATAAACAACCTATATTCCCCTGAAATAGAATAGCTTACAAAGAATTAAATTGGAAGGTTGTCATTTTTAGCCAGTAACCTTTTCTTGATGTTGAACTAGCGATTCGCTCGGTTTCATACGGTTGATTTCTAGATCTCGACAATAACGCCACCTACCGGATCCAATTGTGAATCTAAACCATTATCTAATCAACTTAATCACACACAAAATATCATCAAAATCAGTCCAACCGTTTAGGAGGAGTTCAGTCACATACACACGGACAGAAGAATTATATATAACATAAATATGTATGTATTATACATATAAGCCTTCCTCTTGCATCATTATGTCTATTGAACCGCATCAAAATCCGTTGCGTAGTTTAAAAGATCTAAGCGTACAGAAGGCGGGAAGCATCGATTACTAATATAAAACTAGATACACAATCCCATGCAAAAATTCTCTAAAAACTGTCGCCAATTGTTTTGACATAATTCTAGTTGAAATAAATATACATTAATGTAAATTCAACCTTAAATGCATTACCTAATTAAAAGCGCACCCAAATGTTCGAGTGGGTGCTCATTCGGTGAGGACATTTTTGACACTGATTGTGTATCTAGTTTTTTATTAGTGATCGATTGCGGGAAGCGACTTTGTTTTGTATTATGTAGAGAAGTTCGTAATAAAATTGGCGGTACCACTCCCCCAATTATGACTAATCCCGGTCACCGGGTTTTGTACTTTATCTATTAAACTTTTATTCTATTTATTTTTTCTATTTTAATTTCTATTTGTAAGATTTTTTATTTATTATATTTTAATTTCTATTTGTGAGATTTTTGATTTATTCTATTTTAATTTATATTTGTGCTACTTTTGACGATAATACGAGCATGAGGGAAGTGTCTTTACACCATAGGCATAGACTGAATAAGTCAATATAATCGCGTGCCTTAATAGACCTGGCAATACAGTCGCAGGTTTTAGTTTCAAACCAAGTTATAAGATATATATAAAACAAATGGGGCCCAGATGTGTGCGACTTGATCTTGGACTGCCTTCAAACATATCGTATAACTTGCGATATTATAGCGAACATATTGTAAAGGCATAAGTCGCTATTTACCATGCATTTACATTTTTTTAAATAAATAAGTGAAATAATATACGATAAAACTATAATTTTGAAAAACTAATTTAAAAACTAAGACTAATGGGTGAGAAATAACGTTTTAAATTCTATACGCATAGCGACACATGGAAAATCTGGACGTAACCTTTAGTTAGTTCATGTTGCAGACTAGTTCAATCAATCTCATAAAACCGAAACAGTAACCTTTTCAACTAGACTAAATTCGGAAACTTACGCGAATAAACTCGTATAGTATCTGTCCAAATTCATTGTGTAGGTGCAAATTTTCTTTAATTCCTTTTATAGTCCATATAAAAGTGGGGTTGGAAAAATGGACCAAAAATCTTTTAAAATTCTATTTTATTGATTAACTGAGTTTACTACTATGCAGTTATGATCATACATAAATTAGATTTAGAAAACAAATTGGTTATTGTTTATTTGTTGTTATTATTATTATTTATTATTGAATAACTAGCGATCCGCCCCGGCTTCACACAGTTGATTTCTGGATCTCGACAACAGCGCCACCTACCGGGTCCAATTGTGAATCTAAACCATTCTCTAATCAACTTAATCACATGCACAAAATACGTTAGGATAAACGTTTAGGAGTAGTTCAGACACATACTCGGACAGAGCAGTTATATAAGATATAATATGCATATACTGGGTGGCGAATAGGTTATCACGTTAAATAGCACAGCAGTTAATACAAGTTGATATATGTCTGTTAAAATAATAAAATAAACAATAATAAAAGAAAATAAAAAATGCATTTTTCAAACAAAATAAATAGCGTAAAAAATTGACAAGAAATAAATCAGCTTTGATGATATATAGGTTATTGACCTGAAGTGACTTACAAAACGTCGCACGCGCCAGAAAAATAATAATTTCGACACCCGGTCCCATTTCTTGTCACTTCGCGCATAGAGAATTATGCCTTAACTTCATTATTTTAAGTAAACTTTTCGCTTGAATTTGTTTTCACACACCCGCAGCGCGCGGTCCCTTTGTTTTTAATTTCGCGCATAAAATTATGCCTTAAATTGTTAGCCGTAAGTACAGTTTTTGTTTGATTTTTTCTTTATTTGAGTAGTTCGGATTGACAACGTTTAAACTACCTATCTTCGCCTTCAAATGGCATGGGTCTTTGACCGTCTAGAATTCATCAGGTGATATCTCTATGCATTTACATGATGTTATTTAATATTAAAACGAAAAAAATGCTACCGCGACTAATGTATTAATTGTTATATATTTTTTTAGTTGTGTATGTTTAAAGAAATTTATGTAGCATACGTCTTTTCATTTTATGTAATAACTTTTTCGTCACTCGGTATATTATACATATAAACTTTCCTCTTGAATCATTCTGTCTATTGATGAAAACCGCATCAAAACCCATTTGCGTAGTTTACAAAATCTAAGCGTACAGACTGCGGGAAGAAACTTTGTTTTATACTATGTAGAGATACAGATAATCGTTGATATTTACATCGTCGTTTCTAGTTACTTCAAACAATTATCTCTCTCAATCTTACTTACCATTGTTTAGTGATGAATGATGATGTATTGTCTCACCCCTGAGGACTAAAGCTGAACGCACATTTGTCCGCGCCGCAATCACCGTACGCGCCGAATTTTAGAATTCGTTGTATGAAATCATATGAAACCTCGCACATTGCATCCCGCACCGTACGCGCCGAATTTTGTAAAATGCGGTAGGCATACGATATCGAAGGACGAATGCTGATGACGTCATATAACGCGGCGCGTTCGGCGCGTGCAAATACTCAGTATTGTCTAATGTTGCCAACTTAGTGGATTTTCCACTATAACTGGTGGTTTCGACTTACATGATAATTTTTGTATTTTTATAACTTTTAATTAATTCGTATTTAATTATACATAATTTGATTTTTTTGCATCGATTATCAATATGTATTCTTAGCGATAAATTATTTAAGTACTGAACTAACAAAAAAAATAGTTAAATTTAATTAAAAAAACCCAATTATACCTGATTACTTAATTATCCATAAAAATACTTACCTCAAACATACAACAAGTATTTTTTCTGGTTCAATTGGCTTTCTAAATCTTGAGTTTTCCATAGAAAGATATGGTTTTAGTATATGTAGAATTTCTTGGAATGTCGTATATGTTGAATACAAATATCTATAAAAATCGTTCATCATCATCTAATAAGTCTTTAAATAAAGTATATCCCCTTTATATTCTAAATACAATTGCCTTTTTAAATTAATATTATAAATCCAGAATCTTCTTTTTCTTCGAATTTTATTTTCTTCTTCCTCTGCCAATAAGCAGGCTATTACTAAATTGCTTTCCATAGTGATTTCGAGCGATCAAACTGTACCGTTTCGCACCAGTGGTTGGGAAAAACTACAAAAGTTGTTGGTAATATAAAAGATTTGCGTACGGCGCGGACGATGCGTACGGGCAAATGTGCGAGGCCATCAGCAAAACTCGGCGCGTATGGCGCGTGCGGCGCGGACAAATGTGCGTTCAGCTTAAGATGGAATGCCTCATTTTCGGTAAAAAAGGGTCTCCGGTTCACACAGCATTAAGCTGCTATTTTACGCTGGTATTCTGTAAGAGCGTGGATATACCACAGTCGAGCCGACCCATTCGTGCTACACCCATAATATTATAGCTGCAGCGTGGCTCTAGCACGAATGGCACCTTCACGATGACACCTTTTTGATTTGTTTGTCGAGTGCTTGTGCCTGCACTGCCGTTAAAGCGAGGACTGTCTCTAGGGAGGGCTTGATTTTTTTATTATTTAAACAAATTTCTAATGTAAATCAAAACCTCTACCACATAATTAATAACATTAATAATTATAAAATTATTGTTTTTGTATAGCATAGCAGCTTATTTACTGTGATATTTTTTTTAAGATATTACGTTTTTCATGGCCGATTTATATGCAAATATATGTGAAAGGAATGATAATATCTATTTCAATAACCTACTCCGTAGAAGTAA